AGTCAGCTGAAGTAGCCTGCAGTGCTGCATTTAACCACTGGGCCACCTCGGGCTGCATTTAACCACTGGGCCACTGGGCCCAATGATGATTGCAGTATCTTGAGATCATGGGATCATCTTTTGCAACTTTCTGACAAGGAAAGTCAATGGGAAGCCTGATTCACTTAACAACTGTGTTAGTAACTTCATAACCACAATAATTCATGTAGCCACCATGGCAAGGAAGGTCATAAAACAAGTCAAAACTCACTTAACAAAGGTCTCACTTAGCAACAGAAATTTGGGCTCATTTGTGGTCGTAAGTTGAGGACTACCAGTACTAAGTCCTGATTCTTATAGAAACCCAATGAAGGATCTGCAGTACATAGAGATATAGAGAAACAAAAGAAGATCCAGGGCCAGGGAAGGAGTTTTCTTTTGGACCTGGATCAAAGTGGGTAGGGGAGAGAACTCTGCATGACTTCTGACCTTTCATCATGATTAGGAGTTAAAGATCATCTCCATTTTCAAAATCATAAAATGAGAACCATTGGATTCTGAAGTGGTGCCTGTTGAAGTTTCATGAAAACACCAACCCTTTCCCCCCTTCTTTTTTACGACCCTGTAACCCCTTAATTTGGGGTAGAGTTCAGGTGACTGAATGGAGTGTTTACTGGCTGGGCGCCCTTTCTGATACCTATAGATATTTTCTCTGTGCGCCTTCAGAGGGAAACATCTGTCTCTACCTAGAATTGAACTCTCAACCTTCCGAGTGGGAAGCGAATGTCTTTACCGTCAAGCCATCACACTGCTGAAAAATACCAAAAATTGTGGCATCATAAAATTATGTCACTTTAAAAAAATATTTTTTAGAGTTATGTTCGGTCATGACAGTTTCCAAAGTTTGTTCTAACTAAATCCAGTTTCTTAATCTATTTCTGGCAGATACCTCACGGAGGCCCAAGGAGCATGAAAAAACTGGGCAGGTCTACAGCTTTGTGACTAGAAGTGAGATGGAGAGAGACATCAAAGCAGGCCGCTATCTGGAACATGGTGAATATGAGGGGAACCTCTATGGAACTAAGATTGACTCCATCCATGAGGTTGTGGAGTCAGGCAAAATGTGCATCCTGGATGTTAATCCACAGGTAGGTAATCTTTCACTATACACTGGTTACTTTGGTAGAGATTTGTCTATTTACAGGATTTGAGACACTTTGGGTTTCTGTAAGTTTTAGAAATCTAAGTATATCTATATAAATTCTTAATATGCCAAATTCTTCAATTGAAACTATGATAAATAGGGTTTCCCAAAATTCAGTTTCCTCTTATTGTTGAAATGTTGACAATTGTACTGCCTCATGTACATGTTCCTGTACAAATCACATTTCTACACATTCTTCTCCTAACATACATGGAGAAACAGCTGTTTGCTAAGTTGGTGTCAACATTTGTTTATTTCAGAATACTGAATTAGTGTTGTACTAACCTGGAAAATGGACTAATTCTGCAATCAGATTAAATCCAGAATAAATGTGTGACTACAGAAAGAATGAATGGTATTTCTATTTTGTATAGTGCCTAGCATGCTAGTGGTCTGGAAATATGGGAATCCATAATAGCAATTATTCTCTTTGTTGGATATTTGGATAGGCTGTGAAGGTGTTGAGGACAGCTGAGTTCGTCCCATATGTGGTGTTCATTGAAGCACCAGATTTTGAGACTTTACGAGCTATGAACAAAGCAGCTTTGGAAAGTGGTGTAGCTACTAAGCAACTCACGGTGAGTCTCCATGAGAAGGTTTCAGAATGATGGAAGTGAGAAGAAATGACAAGTTTGGGAATGGAGCTAATTAACCATGCTAAATTCTATAACTTTACATAGTACTAACACTCTTGTGCTGAACCTTTAATTGGGCAAATGATGCTGGGACTTGGTCACATGATCCCAATTGTTAATGTTCCATGACAGTTTCTCAGCCATTCATGCAATCCCTTGCTCCCTCTCCCACCCCCAGCAGCCGCCACTTACCTACTTCCTGGAAAGGGAAGAGCAGGGAGGAGGGAGGAAGAGAAAGTCCTGTGCAGTTCCTCTTGCACACCCCCACACACTTTCCCTGACCTGAGCTGTGATTATAATTAAGTGGCCTATAGCAAGGGTGGCTTTCCCTTTAATTGGCCCAGAAGCTATATTTAACATTTGCAAGGCTGAAAGCTTCAGTAGGTGAGGTGATGATGCAAAATGATTGAGGCTATGTTACACACGAATGAAATCAGAAATTTATTTTTATTTCTTTATGAGTTTGGAGAGGAGGTATTGTATGTATGCATGCCTAGCAGTGATGGGTTCCTAACGGTTCGGACTGGTTCGGCTGAACTGGTAATGGTTTGGCAGCCCAGGTCACTAGAACTGGCAGCGACTCAGGCCTGACATGCCCCCAAACCGGTTCTCTGCGCGGGGCCTACAGTGCCGCCATTTTGTTTTTTGCTTCTGCACATGCGCAGAATTTTTTATTTTTACATTAAAAAAAATATTTTAAATTAAAACAATATTTAATTTTTTATTGTACTGTGCATGTATGTGCAGTGCCCATGTGCCGCATGGCCACAAGCAAACTGGCATGAGTGACTGACTGAACCCACCCCTGATGCTTAGGTGTGTATATATACATACATACATACATACATACATACATACATACATACACACACACACGCACATACATATACATACACACACACAAATACATACATATTAATATACATACCACACTCAAACAGAGATACATATATGTTTATTCTAGGGATTGTGCTACAGTTTTTGTATATTTGTACTTCAGAATAGATTGAAACCTAACTACAGAACTTCAATGGTCGCATTCCTCTTATTTACATCCTGCTCTGCTTTTTTTCTGTGTTTAACCAGGATGCTGACCTGAAGCGAACTGTGGATGAGAGCTGCCGAATCCAGCGAGGCTATGGGCATTACTTTGATCTCTGCTTAGTGAATGATAATATGGAGCGGACATTCCAGCAACTTCAGGTGGCCTTGCAGAAGCTGTACAATGAACCACAGTGGGTTCCTGTCAGCTGGGTTTACTAGAAAGGAGTTCCCCTCTCCTCTCCATAGCCTCTGAGCCTTGATTTTCCCCACCTTCTACTATCTCCATTTTTGCCAGGGGACCCTAGACTTTTTTTTTTATGTGCCCATGTCCCTTTTCAACCATCAACCTTACTCAAGTGTCTAGGCTGTGTAGATTAAATTCAGTTGGCTCTATTCTAAAGAAAAGGTGTTTTCTCGTTCTGTTTCAGAACACCTTCAGCCTGCCAGGAATTTTTTTTTTATTGCCATAAGTGAATGGATGTCCTTCATCTCCTTCTCTCTTTTTTTTACAGTAAGTTGTTTAAATATGAATTCAATCTGGTGAACACAGAATTGGAGGAGGAGTGGAGCAGAGCTACGCAATACCCACAATGCCTTGCTAGATTTGCTACTCCTGATCCTCTCTTTTGTAATTCAACCATTGTGAGATGAGAAGGATATTTCTCCAGTCACAGCTAACTCACTGCCAAAATCCCTGTTTTTCTAGATGGACCACAATTCTGATATTGCCAAAAGAACTTGTCAGCCTGAGATAACTGGATGTCTTGCTCACTGAGATTGTTGAACCAGGGCAGAATGTCTGGCCCGCATTTTAAGGGGATTTATGGATACATCCATTAAAGTTTATAGTGGGAATTTATGAATGATTGGTTTTTTGGCAGGAACTTTGGTATGGAACCCAATGTCCTGGAAACACTAGGGCAGCTATAAGAAGCAAGTGATGTGTCTCAGTTTTGCTATCTATAAAATGGGGCTAAGTATAATGGTAATTATGTTTACACTCTGGTATTATTTGTAAAAATGGTGCAAAATTTCTTGCTTGAAATTTTTGGAAAGCTATTCCAATTTATAGCAGACAAAGTGGATCAATGATCTAGCTGAAATAAAATTTCCTATGTTCAACTGAGATTTCTTCCTTATCCTACCAGCCTTCTGGAAACTGACGTATTAATAGCAAAGATGCTTGATTATGAAATTAAACATAACTGATTATTTCAGTAATTAGTCAACCTGGGTGCTTTTCCAGGTTATCGATTTCATCCTCCATAATTCTCAGTCCTATCATGCTGACTGGAAAATTCTTGGAGTTGAAATCTATACATCTGGCAAATGCCCACATTGGCAAAGACTGACCTGTATTAATCATTGATCCAAATCACTGCTGCTTCACAATAATTGTATAGATAGTCCTCTACTTACAATCATTTGTTTAGTGAACAAAGTTACAATGGCATAAAAAAGTGGCATGACCATTTTCACACTTATGACCATTGCAGCATCAATATGATCAAAATTTTTATATTTGGCAACTAATTCATATTTATGACAATTGCAGTGTCCGAGATTCATGTGATCATCTTTTGTGACATTCTGACAAGCAAAGTCAGTAGGGAAGCCAGATTCAATTAACAACTGTGCAACTGCAGTGATTCACTTAACAACTGTGTCAAGTAAGATTGTAAAATGGGGCAAAACTCACTTAACAACTGTCTTGCTTAGCAACAGAAATTTTGGACTCGCTTGTGGTTGTAAATTGAGGACTGCCTGTAATACATGCTGATGCATACCATAAATCGCTTCCCCACAGTTTCTATATCCATTCAGTTCAGGCCTCTCAACTTTCACCATCAAAATGCGTCAACTTCAGAATTCCTTAGGCAGCACAGCCATTACTAAGAATTCCTCGTGTTGAGGATGGCTGACTCGGTTCCTTGGTTGTGCCAATCTTGCCTTCAGTGGGGTTCTGTTGGGTTGGAGAAATGCCCGTGAGAGACCATTCCGTTCTTCTCCAATTTGGCTTTCACCACAATGCTAGGTTCAATGCTTCATGATTCTAGGGTTCCTGAGAGAGCAATTACCACTACCTCACATACTATGGCAGCTGTTAAATGGTGGCAGAAGCCTCTGCAGACCAAGGGTAAGACCTCGGGCTCAGCTTTTCACTGCCAGATCTGGAAGGGCATTTCTAGCAATTCTTTTATATGCATTTGTTTCTTTATTTCCCCCTGTCCTCATTCTGATTCTTCCACATTTTAAATGATGCTTGGAAAAATGCTGATTCTGCCTAAATTGATTGGAACAGGGACAGGGCAGTGTAAAGGGGTGAAATTAACAGCCCTGATGGATCTATCTTAGTTAGTCCAGGATTCTGTGTGTCACACAGCGGCCATCCACTCAGAATTGATCTCCCTCTTCCAGGCTTCTCTAGCAATTGATCTCTAGGGTAGATTGCCCCGAATGCTGGAGGAAGCATGAATCTGTCTTCTTTTAAAACGATTAAATTATGGCTATACCACATCTGACAGCTGCACACTCTGTAATTTAGCTAAGACTTTTTGTAATTTCACTGCACTGGTTCTGAAGCTTCCCTGCATTTGAATTCAGAATTCCCTTTTTCAACTGGAAAAATTGACTAACATGGGTGACTTGGTTATTTGTACACCTGGCCACCTCTCTCTTGTTAGATTTTCCTTTCCTGTAACCAGAGCATATATTTTGTAAAGCAATAACTCCATCTGCTGGTAATCAAGCCTGGTGGGCCTATCATTTTAATGCCCTACAAGAACTGTTCAGGGAATCCATTTGATTCACTTGACCATTGTGGGGACAGCAATGCATTAAAGCAGCTTTATATTTAAGTATTGACTGCAGCTCAAACTCCCCCCGTCTCCTTTTGGGAAGTATTTCCGTATGGCATTAAATACACACAGATCAGGGAAAGGGGTAATGCTGGGGACAGTTGGTGGGTGGATCCAAATAATTAAATGTTCTGTTATTGGCCTAGCAGGATGTCCATTTCGTCAATGTGGAAACCTATCTTCATAGCAATCTTTTTCTAATGTGGCCACAATATATTCTAGATTACCTCATTAATGATTTGGGAACCATTATTCTAATCTACATTTTCTTCCCCATTTGCTTTGTAAAGAAAGCATGACAAAAAAACCTCTCCAAAATTTATTAGATTTACCCTATATTTCCATTCTTATTATTACCACAACCACCACACTTTGAGTGTGATGATTTGGGCTTTACTCTGTGATCAATACACAATAGATTTCGTGATCTACTGAGGTGGCCCTCTGAAGTGGATTAGATGAAGGAAACCATTGGTGTCTAAATGGAGCATCCATGTTTTTCGAGAAAGGGCCTATAAAGATTTGGCTTTCTTGTCAAACAGCCCCACATCAATCCCGTTTTATGTTTTTTCCCTTCATGTAACTTCATTTTCGTTTTCTCCTGTGCTTAAGCCCTTTGCATTCCCTCAGTTTTGATCCTTCCATCTGTGTGTCCTCAAACTCAAATATAACATTTATCTGGCTTTTAATTCTTGCTTCCAGCATTTTTTTTGTCTCAGTAATTACAAGGGCTAGATTTTTTTCTTCCTTTCTATAATATTAGTCATTAAAACACACCTATAATATACATAGTCAAATAAGAAATTATCCACAGAACAGTCCTCTTTGTTACTATTTTAGCGACAATTTATTTAGGCACTTTCCTTTCTACATACATTTACATATGTTGCCAGTGAACAACATTAACATTTTTGCATATATATGTATATGTTGCATATATATATATATATGTATGTATGTGTGTGTATTTAAAACTGCATATACTGTGAAATAGAATTCCTTGGAGCTGTCATTTCCTGTGTTCTTTTTTTTCCTGTTTTAATTTCTTTTTTAAAAATCTTGCAGTTATCTTCCCCTTGAATAATCTGGTGTGCTTTTAAAACCAGAACCATTATTTAAAAGGTAAATAGTTAAGTGTCTATTTACTGTCTGTGCTAGACAAGTTTTCTCAAAAGTGTTGTTACTTCCAATAGCATCATGTACCTGCAAATGATGATTTGTATCTTTTTTTTTAACATGTCTTGAAGGCTTGGCTTGGCAGAATATCCTCTTCTTTGTAAGTGTTTCTTTCCTCTTGACGCTAGGCAAAAATGTATTCATTGTAGGTAGCCAAAGGAGAAATTATCCAAGTTTTTCTATTTTGAATTATGTTTTATTATAATTGGATATTTATTTGTAAACAAGAGCAATTCACTGAATATAGGAATGTTTCAAGTTTATTGTGCATTATTGCCAATCACATGAAGAACCTAATTTGAACTTTCAGTGCAAATACTTGATCTTTGCTACTCAGTTCTGACCTCATAGTTAGTTGCTCTTGTATTGGTTTGGGTTTTTGCAAATTATTCAGATCCGTGTTGATTTGTTCAAGCGCTTTGGAGTGGAGATGGTTTGTGGTTCCTATTCTCTTTCCAAAGTGCTTCTTCTATATTTCTACTAGAGCTTGGTTTGCCTACCCTTGTTTTTAAAAGTTATGTGACGTGCTCTGCTTGTTCAGTATCTATTTTCCTGGCTGTTTTTACCCCTGGTTCATTACAAAATGGCAGTGGCAGTCACAGGGGCCTTTGCAGAAGAGCATTAACTAGGGAGCACCATATATTGTTCTGGTGAGAAGCAGAGATAAGTAAATTATGCTACCACCAAAAAGTCGTAAAAACAGGAACAGCCAAAAATATCAGTTTCTTAAAACAAGACACAGTAATTCAAGAAAGAATTTTGCAGAGCATTCATAGTACTTCTACATAGCCGCTGACTGCCGTGTATAGAAGTGGCTTCATTCTGCTCCAGAAGATATATATGTGGTGTATCCTTCTTCAAATTTGGCTAAAGATTCTCCTTACCTAGTCAATGGGTGGATACATAAAAAGAAGCAGTTAGTCAGTGCCTTGCTTTCCTTGTTCCATCATGGTGTCAATTTTTTGCAGCAAGGAAAAATATTGTTTTAAACTTCTAGTTAGATACTACATGGAAGTAGCCAAATTTTCCTTCATTTGCAATTGAGAACAAGTGAACAAGGGCACCACAGCTTCAAAAAAAGGAAGCAAGAATTCTGAGTAGATAGGCAGGATGAAGTGCCTGTTTTTGCTAATGAGAAACTGACAACAGCTTTAGAGGAATTACTGCAGAACTGATGTCATTGGATTTCCTTGCAGCTTCCCAAAGTCCATGCTTGAGATGTGGAATGTGGCAATGTCAATAATTTCAGACTGGTACAGTCTTGGGAGGGATCCTTATTGTCCACAAGAAGTAGATTAGATGGTATATAAATGAAAAAAATGCATAAATAAACATGATGTTTATGGAGGTCCACTAGTTATAGATTTTGGGGAAAATAGGAGAAGGAAGGTGTGCTGGATATGTTCACCACCATCTCAAGTTATTTGTGAAAATAATAAAGATGGGATACAAATAAATAAAATAAAATAATAGCTGCTTTCAAAATGTTCATAGGAATAATGGCAAAAAGTTGGATAATAATAAAATAGGAGGAGAATAGAGTCAAGAGGCAGGAAGTAAGCAAGAGAAGACATTGTAGTTGGCACCCATTTACCAGAAATTTTTATTACTAAACCACGATTCGAAATAAAAATGTTTGCATTAATGAACATCAGGATCTATACATGTTTGTGCTTCTCCAACTTCCACCACTGAATCATCCAACAACAATAGTCAGTTTGGAATTGCATTCTAACAGCATCTGCTGAAGTGAATACTCTTCCTCCCCAACTCCGGGATTAGATACTCAGCTCTATTCACTCCTATTCAGAATTAATTCAAACTGAGTTTAATGGGTCTTCAAGGTATGGTTATATTGGAATTACTGATGAATAAGTAACTGGATTGGACACCCATTGTATGGAGCTCACTGTGGCTCCAGAAATAATTGTAAATCAGATAAAATGTGAACATTATTGATCTAGATCAGTAAAGAGGGATTAGGAACCAAAATTATTCCCTCCACTTCTTAATGTTTTCTATCTCTCCAAATAGTTCATCAGATCTTGTGTTGCCATTTTGGCCCTCTTTTTAAAAGAGAAAATCACACTTTTTTTTTAGTAATTATTTGGATTGAAATGTACTTTCTTTGAGAACTCTGATACTGTTGTGTATTTTTCCTCTTGATTATATCTATTATAATCCTATAGCTACTAAATGAAACAGCTTCATCTTTGTTATATTTCTGTTTACAAATTAAATTTCAGAAAGAAAAATACCCCACAATGTTGTGCTTTTGTGTCTTCTTCTGACTAGTTGGCACTAATTTTTAGAAATCATGCTATGAAATGTTGGCCCTTTTATATTTTCTTGGCAACTACCGTAAATGTTCATGATGCTGTCTCATATAATCATCCAGATACCTGCCAGCCTATATAATTTTCCATATCCCAAATGGAG